CCCTCACTGAGAAGAAGTTTCTTCTCAAGTTTAAGTGGAACCTCTTGTGTTCCAGTTTGTACCCATTGCCCCTTGTCCTATCATTGAACTGAGGGGCCCAGAACTGGACACAATATTCCAGATGCAGTCTCACCAGGGCAGAGTAGAGGGGAAGGAGGACCTCTGTTGACCTACTAACCACCCCCCTTCTAATACACCCCAGGATGCCATAGGCCTTTTTGGCCACAAGGGCACAGTGTCGGCTCATGGTCACCCTGTCGTCCACCAGGACCCCCAGGTCCCTCTCCCCTACACTGCTCTCTAACAGGTCATTCCCCAACCTATACTGGAACCTGGGGTTGTTCCTGCCCAGATGCAGGACTCTACACTTTCCCTTGTTATATTTCATCAAGTTATTCCCCACCCAACTCCCCAGCCTATCCAGGTCTCGCTGAATGGCAGCACAGCCTTCTGGTGTGTCGGCCACCCCTCCCAGCTTAGTGTCATCAGCAAACTTGCTGATAGTACACTCAATTCCCTCATCTAAATCATTGATGAATATATTAAATAATACTGGTCCCAGTACCGACCCTTGAGGCACTCCACTAGATACAGGCCTCCAACTAGACTCTGCCCCATAGACTACAACTCTCTGGCTTCTCTCCTTCAGCCAGTTCACAGTCCACCTCACTACCCGATCATCCAGACCAGACTTCCTCAATTTAGCCGCGAGGATGCTGTGGGAGACTGTGTCAAACGCTTTGCTGAAGTCAAGGTAGATCACATCCACTGCTCTGCCATCATCCATCCACCATGTTATTTCCTCATAAAAGGCTACGAGATTGGTCAAGCATGACTTCCCCTTGGTGAAGCCATGTTGACTGCTCCTCATAACCCTCTTATCCTTGATATGCCTTAAGATGGCACCAAGGATAAGGTGTTCCATCACTTTCCCAGGAATGGAGGTGAGGCTAACCGGTCTGTAGTTACCCGGGTCCTCCTTCTTGCCCTTTTTGAAGACAGGAGTGACATTTGCTTTCCTCCAGTCCTCAGGCACCTCTCCCGTTTCCCAAGACTTGGTAAAGATGATGGAGAGCGGTCTAGCAATGACCTCCGCCAGTTCCCTCAGCACCCGCGGGTGCATCCCATCTGGACCCATGGATTTATGGATGTCCAGATTGCTCAACTGGTCTCTAACTCATTCCTTATCTACTAAGGCAGACTGCTCCATTGACCTATCTTCATCTGAGGTCTCAGCGGTACAGGGCTCTTCAGGACTGCCTCCGGCAGAGTAGACAGAGGCAAAGAAGGCATTCAGTAACTCTGCCATCTCTGTATCTTCTGTCACCAGGGCACCCGTCTCGTTCATCAGCGGGCCTACATTGCCTCTGGTGTTAGTTTTATCTGCCATGTATTTGAAAAAGCTCTTTCTGCTGTCCTTGACCCCTCTCGCCAGCTTTAATTCCAAGGAGGCCTTAGTCATCCTAGCTGCCTTCCGACATCCTCTAGCAGCAGCCTTATATTCTTCCCAAGTGGCCAGCCCCTCCTTCCATGACCTGTAAACTCCCCTCTTCCACTTTAGCATACCCAGCAATTCCCTATTTAGCCATGCAGGTCTCCTGGCCCTCTTCCTCGACTTCCTACTTGTTGGGATGCTCTGATCTTGAGCTCGGAAAAAGCAGTCCTTGAACGTCAACCAACTATCTTGGGCCCCTTTACCTTCAAGCAGCCTAGCCCATGGGATTTCCCCTAACAATTGCTTGAAGAGGCCAAAGTTTGCCCTGCTAAAGTCCAGGGTTGCAATTCTACTTGCTATTCTACTGGCCCTACCACACAAGATCCTGAATTCCACCATCTTGTCACTGCAACCAAGGCAGCCCTCAACCTTCACTGCTTTGACCAGACCCTCCTTGTTAGTGAGGATGAGGTCCAGCAGCGCACCTCTCCTGGTTGGCTCATCCACCATTTGCATGAGGAAGTTATCATCCATACACTGGAGGAACCTCCTGGACTGCAGCTGGGTTGCCGAGTAGTCCTTCCAGCAAACATCAGGGAAGTTAAAATCCCCCATGATGATCATGGCCTGTGACTGTGAGGCCGCTCTCAGCTGCCTGTAGAAGGCCTCGTCAGCTTCCTCACCCTGATCCGGTGGCCTGTAACAGACCCCCACAACAGTATTGCCCCTGCCAGCCTGCCCCTTCATTCTCACCCACAGACTCTCAACTTGCTCATCATCTGTCCCTGGACAGAACTCAACGCATTGTAGCTGCTCTCGCACATAAAGAGCAACCCCACCACCCCACCTGGCTGGCCTGTCTTTCCTGAAAAGAACATAGCCCTCCATGACTATATTCCAGTCATGTGAGCTGTCCCACCACGTCTCTGTAATTACCACCAGGTCATAATCTCCTGACTTAACACAGGTTTCTAGCTCCTCCTGCTTATTTCCCATGCTGCGTGCATTGGTGTACAGACATTTCAGGGAGCGAGCTGAGCACACCGATTTCACCCTAGGATTATAGGAGGCCTCCCAGTCTTCGTCAGTTCTGGAGTGCTGCCCCACTGGGGCAGGCTCAGCTACAACGCCATCCCCCTTTGAATCTAGTTTAAAGCTCTGCAAATGAGAGCTCTGTAGTACTTCACCTATTTTCATTTCTTTTTTTTTGAGTTTTCTCAGAACATGAGAACATGCAGGATCTGTGTGTATACTTTTCTGTGAACTGGAGTGTAGCAAGGTCACATAACTTTCCCCCTCATCTCAGTGACACAGAAAGTAGGTGAGTCCTCCTTGGTAGCGTTACGGCCTCACCAACTCAGTTAAATGGTTTGCTGAACTTATTTGGTGCCTCAAAAGATTGTTACCTGAGGCTTTTTAATAGTGCTCCTTGGAGACCTCTTTTTGCTGTTGGGTTTATGCATGTAAAAAATACGTTTCCCAAGCTGTGCTGGAAAATCCATCTTCAGTAAAGATAAGAGCTAAGACTTTGCAACTGTTTTTGACAACCATGCCAAAGATAGGGAAAGGGAGAAAGGATAGAGGCCAGATACATTATGAAGGCATCTTCTAGAGGGCTTTTTGGGGTGTAGGAGCCAGGAATGTACCCCCTGCCCTCACCTTCCATCTTATTACTGTGACACTTTGAGAATTTCTGCCACTTCTTCATTAATAGATTCATCATTTGTATTCATTGTATTCATTAATTTGTTATTCTTCAAATAGATTCAGTAATTGTAACATTCTGACAGATTTGCCCATCAGGTGTGGCCTTTGGTTTAATCACCTGAATTATTTGATTGAAGCTGTCTGAAGCGCGCAGTTCTAATTTTTCTAACATTCATGCAAGACTCCACTTCTGCTGTGTAACACCTTTCTTGAAAACACCATTCTTAAAGACACAGCTCAGAATGATCTTTTATTTAGAGGTTTATTTGGCTGTCTGCCACTGTTGTATCTTGCCTATTTACATAGTGCTGCTGCTTTTACTTTTTTATGTGGTCTAACTGCTTTTATCTTTTAACTTTTTTTTATGTGCCATTTTTCATCTTCATATTCTTTAATATACTTTCCTTAGTATTCAAACAAAGATAAGGATTTTCTTTGTGTGTGTGTATGTGCACACAATACAGTATAATAAATACCTATTTTATTAAGACCATTTTTTTTTTTACTTGTAGCTGTTATGCATGTGTTGTTTCTCATCCTTGTCACTTCCCTCTGAGATGACCAACTTGTTCTATATATATAAATCATTGTGCTATTGAATAATTCAAAGATCAAAGTTTAGGTGAATGTCAACACTGTTGGGGTTCCAGTCCCTATAAGACTCCTGATTTAGGCTTTTCTTTTTAACTCACAAAAACCACAGTCACAGGTCCTGTGTTGATCAATGTAAATGTACCAGTGGACTGCTGCCATAAGTGGTGATCAAACAGATTTATTTGTGGTGGATCCTAGCTGTCATGTGGCCACAAGAAAAGTCACTTTGGTGAACTGAGCTAATGGAAAACTGATTCATGCAGAAAGCAGGGACAGTATTCTTTAGCAGTGAGCCTGCCCTTAGACACAGTTAGATGTAGAGTAAAGCGTTACCTGTAGTGTAACTACAGTATAGTTCTTTTGGAGAGCTTCCAGCCTTCTGCCAGGAGGCTGTAATTTGTAAGCTGTTACAAGTGGACTGTATTGTAAAGACTGCAAACATTTGAAGAAAGGCAACTTCAATGTAGTTTCGATGCCAAATCTGAGATGGATTTATGAGATTACTGTTGCTCAGTTATGTTAAGGTATATTTTTTTCAAGACTGAGCAAAAGGCAGTGTTTAAAGGTCTGCTTTAGCAGTGTGCTAAGTGTGATTAGAGGACTGTGCTTTTGCGTTATGAGTGGTATGGTTTCAGTAGTAACGAAATCTGAACAAATCATCTTGCAATTGCTGTTTTCTAACTTTGTGCATTAAAAATATGGTTTAATAGGTGTGTGCTTAACAAGGTGTCTGTTGAAACCTGAGTGAAACAAAGTTTTTGGTCTTAAAACTGTTGGTGTAGGGGAGGCCCCCAAGTTAAGTTAAACAAATCTTTTGCCACCCCTTTGTATAACTTGTGGTTCACCAAAGCTGCTCATTTATGCGGGAAAATCTCACTCCCTAATTGTCCCCATGCTAACTTACAGAACTTTTAATTTGCTGGTTATTTTATTGAAGTAAATTTACTGCTGTTGAACATAAACTTAAAGAATCACATTCTTGAAATGTATGTTCTGATCCATGATAAGATATCATTAGCATTGCAAAAGGCAATTGCATGGTATTGATTATTCTATTTTTCCTTCAATTCAGGGTAATGTTTTCTTCAGGAATTGGATGGATAGATTTGCAGTAGCATTTTCTTTCTCAATTTCTAAGATGTGAAAGTGTGTTATTTTAGACAGTTTTTTTGACAAACAGCTTGAGGACTGCAGAATATATGTAGGTATTAAGAAAAAATTAGTTCTGTTTAGTTTTAACTTAAACTTGCATTTGTTTTTTCAGGGTCACGATGAAGAAGCTGTTGTGGATATGGGCAAAATCAGCTCTACTATCAATACAAACTTTGAGAAGGAAGAACTAGAGAGTAAGTTTGTGACAGTTTTCTGTTTGCTTTCCTTACCTCTAAAAGGAATTGGAATTTTACAGTCAAGATGAAATTGTAGGAATAAATCACTGGTGGGCGCTGTGTATGATGTGCCCTGTTTCTCTGTTTTTGTCTCTGTGCATGTTAATAAATAGTCACTGCTGTTCAAATCTCACAAAAAAAAACAAACAAAAAAAACCAAAAAAACCCCAGATCATAACAACCCAAAACCCCCCTAAACAATTAAAAATGCATGAAACTTTCCAGGGAAAGCTTGCTTCTGAGACTGTAGGTTTGAAAAAATGTTTGCTGTCAGTGAGTGATTTCCCAGCATGAACGATGTCAAGTTCTGCGGAATCAAAACTCAGGAAATGGGGGTCATAAGGGAGATGTTTATTTTATTTTCTGCAAGTTAAGTATCATTGTGAGTGTGGTCGCACACTTTAAATACCAAGTGTCTGAACCACTAACAGTGCTTCTAGTTCCATGGTAAACTATGCAGTCTGCAGTCAGCTAAAGCATTATGGAACCCTGTTAGTCTTTGTTATCTTGACTCAGGATCCTGCATTTAGCAATAAAAATAGCAGTAAGCTAGTTTCATGTCACAAAATCCAAAATTAGATACTTCATGTAGGATACTGAGTTAAAAGGAAATAGATCGGGGTGAAGATTCATGGATGCCAGAGGAAAAAGCTGCAGAGATCCGGTATTAAAAATCTCGTTTATTCACCTTTCACATAGCATGTTCTGAAGCTTAATTAACATTTGCAAAATGTTAGATGATTATCAGTAGATTCAGTATTTCCTGACACCCTACTGCTTCTGAACACTGGAGGACCATTATAGCACCGATTTCTAGCTGAGAAAAGTTGATTTAGGTTGCTGTCACATTTTCTTATTACAGTTTGTTGTGATTAAAGTTGTTTGTTGCTGTTGCAGTCATATTCTTGAATTGTTCCCTTCAGCCTGTTACCGTTTCTGTCTTTCACTAATACTTTTGTTTGTCTGACTCTATGTACCATAAGCCTGGTTAAGTATCTTAAGCCAGCAGATAACATAACAGTCCCAAGACAGGAAAATAGAAAGATCTCGGCAGCTGAGCACCCCAAACCTATTTGCCACATAGATTGATGTGTATCAGTGCTGAGCAGAGGAAGGAAGTGTGAATATGAGCCTGAGAGGTACAGTGATGGAGCCTGCAGCAATGCCAATTTAGATAGGGTTGAGCTGTGGTGAAACCACCCCTGTCCGTTTCTGCAGTTAAATCTTCCGTGCATATTTAAACTGTCTTCCTCCTTCATTCCTTCTCTTGCTTTTGTCTGGGAGGACCCAGAAAAAGAATGTGTGTGGTATGCAGGGAGGCAGGGGTTAAGGGGAAGCAGGCGTTCAGCTTGTGTAGTGTGCCATGCAGCAGCATGAACAGCTGTAATACCTCAAATACCAAGAATGACATGGAACTTGCAGCCAGATCACTTCCCCAGGCTCTTCTGTAGCTCATTTGCAGGCGTGCTTCAGCTAATACAACACTGTACTTGCATAAGATCCTGGATGGGAAGGCAGGGGGTTTAGGCTGCTAGGGGCAATTTAAACATTTCTATTGCTGACTATGGCAAATACCTATCTTAAGGTGAAACTGAGACTAATGTTTCATGAACAATTGAATCAACAGCTGTTGCAAGGAGGATATGAGGAGATCTCGCTGTCTGTATCTTGTTCTTAGCCATGCGGCCTTATGTTTCCTCTGGCCACCTCTCTTTGATGTGACCCAGACAGAGGTTATACAGAGGTTAAATAATTAGTAAGTTATCTAACAAGAAAAATGTATTCCAGTAGGTTTTTTGCATATCAGCTTCAGATAGGCACATGTTTTTACACGTAAGTGGGAATTATTTTTGGTGATGACATTTGTTTTTAGTATCTTATATATTTGTAAGAAAACTGTTCCTTTTTTTTGTTGTTGTTCCTCCTTTTTTTTCTTTTTTTCCCTTAATGGTAGAAAGGGGAGGGAGGGATGGCACATATTTTGACCTTGTCAGTGGAAACTGTTCCAATGTGAGAACGAGAGGTCTTTCCTGTGCAGAAGAGAAAGGTATGTAAGTAGTTCTTTATGACTCTTGGTTATCTTCACTGAGTTTCACCAGAAGAGATTCTTTAGATTCAGGTTGTTCTAGAGGATAAATTCATGTGAACTTACAGCTTTTTGTTGATGAGATCATTATTTATAAAGTAGATATGTGGGACTTTGGGGTTTTGTTTTTAATTCTGGTATTAAAGTCCTCCAAGGGAAGAACTGGAATTGTTGTCTTCAAGCAGTAAGAAACCTCTGGATAGTGTTAGTTTTCGTTACTAACTTGTGCATGTTGTCTTGTAGGCTTAGGAGGACCCATAGTCATGCATTAGGTATTGTAAGCATGTTAAGACCCAAAGCTGTTTCAGTCCAGTCTTCCAACTAGTTTTTCTCATGACTTAAAAAGGAGTTCGAGGAATTTGGAACCTTTCCAGAAGTGTATGTTACTTTATTTTCAAGGAGAGGCATCTCAGTTATGATGAGAGGCATCCCTGCCCGTGGCAGGGGGTTGGAACTAGATGGTTTTAAGGTCCTGTCCAGCCCTAACCATTCTGTGATTCTATGGGAAGCACCAAACCTTTAAGAACCAGAATGGACAGATGATACTTAACTGCTTTAAAGCTTGTACAAACTAATACTATTTGGTTTGCTGCTGTAGAAGGCATAATTTTGCTACTAATACTATAGCATTTTTTTCTTGGTGGTGTTAGTATTTGGCTGCTTTCTGGAATTTTAATGATAAAATATTAATGGAAAGAGGGCCAGATGCTAAAGGGGAAAATAGGGTTTGGAGCCAGGGCGTCTCAAGTTCTGCATTCTATTTATGGTGGCTGGGAAAGTGTAATGCAGATTGGGAGCAACAGTGTTTTGGTTTGAAAGGTTAGGCACAGGCTACTTATTTCGTAACTGTCTTCCTCTAAGAGAGATGGATGGAGATTGTAATCTGCATCTGTGGGCAGACTGCCTGTATACTAAAGAAAGGTACTGCTCTTTACTGAAGCTCCAAGACCTTACTTTGAAATAACAAATGTCAGTTTACAGAAGGGCTAGAGAAGGGAATAACATAAATAACAGTTTTAAGAGTACCTAATGTTCTTAACTTGATGCCAGACTCTGAGCTGCAATGAATGAGATTAATAACAAAGGCAGGAGTTGGAAGTAAGGCAAGAATATTAATGGCAGAAATGTTTTATGCCATCTTATAAAAGGCATTTAGTGTTAAGAACCACATTTATGGAAAGCTTTCTTAAATCAGAGTTGATGTTTGGCTTTATATTACCATATTGCCAGGATCTGTTGTTTTAAATATGTAGCTAATTTTCCACCTTGTTTTGAGGATGTTTACTAGATGCAGTTAAAAGTAAAATGGTTATATTTTGTTACTCTTAGCAGACCAGTTGCAGACATAGCAGAGATACGGATTTTGCACTTAACAGAAGTCTTGTTCCAGAAACAGTCTGAGGTCAGTTTTCTATGGCATAAATCCAAGAACCAGTTTTCAAGAATTAAAATGATTAAATAGTAGCTACTTGACTCTCACACTATCCTGTTGCAGGTGTAAGTAGTGTTTACATTTCAAGTGACCCTACGATACCTTGATGGTTAGAGCCTTATATTTCCTTTAAGAAAACAGCAGTGCATTTCAATTAATCTTAGTTGATAAGGAGAGGCAATAAATCTTGCTTTTTTTTTTTTTTTTAACCTCTAGAAGTGGAAATTGTATAAGTGGAAAACCTACTTCGCAAGTGTTCTGCGATTTAATGTGTTATGAGTAGTATGAAATTGTTTCAATATTAAGAAAGAGCTTTGGAGAACTAAGAAAACTTACATGTTGACTTGTGGTAGAATGTACTGCTAAGACTTTCAGTTTTGAGGTGTCAGATTTACTATTCTACCCTTTAAATGCATCTAAATTGTAACTGTTCAAAATCCCATGAATAGTTTCTGCAAATCTTGTAAGAAAACGTTGTACAGAAGCAGGTGAACACAAGTAATGCAACAGGACATTGTAGCTGCTGGCACTTGAAGACTGTGCTTAGTATTTATGTTTTTATGTTCTGTCATAGACTGTACTAATTTAGACAGGCAGTACAGAACAGGTTTTTCATCATTATCAAACCACAGAATGAATATTTGAACCTTTAAGAGACCCCATTAATGGTCTAGAAAAGAGCCATGTTTAGCAGAAAAAAAGAATATTGAAATGCTGTTTCTCGTTAAGTTGTATTTTTTTAGGTGGTCAAAAAGTTGAAAAATATGAGTGCAACTGCTTCTGAAAGCAAAGATAATTTGGGATGGTCATTAATGATACTTGCAGGCCACCTTTCATCCAGTGAATTGGAAAGTTCATCTTGCCTGCTTCTTAGTTTAAGTTGAATTGAGAGCAAGCAAAACCGTATCTGTTAAGATACAGTAGAGTTAGGTATATGAGGCATGCTCCAAGTCATGTGCAACTTAAACAAAATGTTTACTTGCACTAGTTGTGCTGGTAGCTGGTGCAGGATAAATTGCTTTGTCCTTATCATTCAGAAATAAATGTTACCTGTGGTCAGCCCTTCTCTAGAAGTCACAAAAATAGAGGATGTTTTTCTTGTATGATTTGTAATGCAGTCTTAATTAAGTGTTTGGAATTAGGTTTGCACTGCTGCACCTTCATCACGTGTTGAAAATTTAGTTATTGTTTTTTGCTATGGGAACCCTACATTATACAGTTCACAGATAAATTCCTTAGGACTTTGTATCCTATTAATGTAACACAGTTTTCACCAAAACATCAGGGTTGGAAGGGTCTTTTGGAGATCATCTAGTCCAACCCCCCAAACTCAATAGGGCACCCAGCGTCTAGACACAATTTTCAGTGTTGATGTGTTGTATGTTTTGGAGGCAGGGGGTTATTTCTGATTTCTAGAACATTCTTTTTTGGAAGTTGCTT